ACTCTTGCCCATTGTACTTTTTAAAATTACCCCTCTTCTCCCCTGTACTCGGGCTTGCCCTGTGTGTGTAGCTCCACCTCCTTAGGCGGCCATTTTGTAGTTGTGTCCACCACCCTGTGTCGGAATTCCCAGTGTGCCCACAGGCTCAGAAAGGTTGGGGACCCATGCTGTACGGAGCCTGTTCCACACCACGATGCTGTCCAGTGGTTTCCCCATTGCTGGGGCAGCGCAGTGGCAACGGGGCTTCCGTATGGCAGCTTTGCCCACATTTTCCCTGCCTGATATACCAATATAGAAAACAAGCAAGAACACACAGTAAACATAGAGCAACTGGGAAACACCTGTGTGGAAAAGACGCTAGACTAGAGACTGCCAAATACGCAAAAGTTGTTGTGAAGCTCTATGAGAACCCTTATCAAAATGTTTTGTGAATAGCTGCCCGTGGATGAAGCATTGTTCATGTACATTACCTTAGAAGTCCATACAATTCTTGTTTACCTCAGAAGACTATAATGTTATTGTTCTGAATAGACATATCATTTAAGCTATTGCTTTAATTACTACTGAGGAAGATCTGCAAAACGAAGTTAATATCCGGATTCCTCGTCTCTTTATGAATATCTTCGTTGCAAGAGAAAAGATATATTGTATTTACTTTCTTGTTTGCTACATTGTATTTACATGTTTTTGTATTATTATAATTTGCATACTTTAGACACTTAGCGGTTTCTAGTGTCTTTTCCACACAGGTGTTTCCCATTCGCTCTAATATACCAATATGACAGTTACCCCCAAAATGCCCCCTGGTGGCATAGGAGGTAGTAGCAGTACCAGGGAGATTAGAACTTTGCCACCCGTGTGGCAATGTTCCCTCTAAATTGTGGAGTCTTGTGAGCAAGAATTCTACTTTGTGAGTTACTAGCATTTAAAGTTGTGAGTGAGCGATTTGGCTACTGCATAAATTAGGTTGCTCTGGAGCCCTCCTTCCTGAGCTAAGACAAAAATGTGTGAGCCGGAGGCTAAAAAACTGTGAGCTAGCACACACTAACTCAGCTTAGAGGGAACACTGGTGGCAACCATCCTGGCTGTGCTAGGGGCCCTGTCTCAGACATCATAGCAAAGATCAGGAGACGCTGGAAGCTCTGCATGGAAGCACGATCTTTGGGGGTAGAGGGGGAAGAACATTTTCCCACAGCGACTGTGCTGGGCCAAACAACCCACGTACAAGAGCTAGATTGAAGCCTCATAGCGCCTTAAAGATCAACAGGATTTCCAGGGTATAAGCTTTCGAGAGTCAAAGCTTCCTTTGTCAGGTACCCCGGAAATCTTGCTGGTCTTTAATGGGCTCTTGGACTCAAGTCTTGCTCTTCTGCTGCACACCGGCATGGCCGTCCTCCTGAAATTAGCCCGCCTGTCCGTAACCATTGGCATTTTAATAGCCGATTCAGACTGTCTGGCTAATGCGTATTGCAGCTCCCCAAGTGGGTGCCGGTTTAGGCAATCTCAAAAGCAACCAGCCAAAGATGACAGGATGCACATAGTGGGCTGAAGCCCCATCAAGGAGCAAAGGAAGGCCTCGGGCCCGGTGCTGATGTTCTCTCTGGGTCTCTTCTCAGCCATCTCCGTGTTCACCGCTGCCGTGATCTACACAACCCACGTGGACGAGTTCCAGAAAAACCGACAGGCAGGCGGCTCCTTTGGCTACTGTTTTGTGCTGGCGTGGCTCTCCTTGCCCTTGGCTCTTATCAGCGGATTCATTTACATCCACCTTCGGAAAAAGGAGTAGCAGGCAACTCGGAGATTGATCTCTGTCTGTCCGGAAGTGAGCTTGTTCTCCTGGGAATTATGCTATGTATTAAATCTTTGCTGTTTTTAAAGGCAATTATGGTACCAAAACATACGTGATGCCTGGCTCGATCCACTAGGGTTACTGCACTGTCGATGTGTCACCTCTTGTTTGTGTTTTATCGTGCATTTTGTGCAGTACAGCCACACAAAGGTGTGTCATCTTGCACTAGGCATCTCCTTGGCATCTGAGATACTGTCATACACTAAGGCTGCAATCCTGAGGGCAGTTTCCCGGAAGTAAGCCCCATTAAATAGTATGAGACTTACTTCTGAGTAGAGCTGCTTAAGATTGCTCCCAACACGTGATTTTATTTTATTTTTTTGCTGGCAAAATGATGTCATGATGCTGTTGAATATGCTGGTTCAGAAGACATGTCTTACATGTTCTTCAAACTTAGCCCATTTTGTAAGTTAGTTTTGTAGTAAAAAGCAGTCGCTTTTGGAAAACAGTAGCCATTTAAATTTCAGGCAACTTTTATATTTCCGATATGAGGAACTGTAGATTTCTCTCTGCTCCTTCCTTGGTACACATGGTGGTGAAGAGCACCTCCCCGATACCAATTTTTCTATTTTACAAGACCAAAACTGCGGGAGAATCAGTAGGTTTATTTACAAAATACTTCTGTATCTTATGTTGGGCAAAACGCAGATCAAAACCCAAGTGTGCATAACTGTCTAGCTTTTTTTTTTTAATCATTTTTAAATGGAGGGTTGAATAAGAAATATCTTCAGTTTTGTATGTTACTCAGGATATTGCAACCTCTTGAAAACTAAAACATCAAGTGAGAATATAAATTCCAGTTGGAAGTCCTGGAACCTTTTAAAGTTTTAAGAGTAAAACTTGTAGAAATAAAGACTATTGTACACGCAGCCCTGACTTGGATAGCCCAGGCTAGCCCGATTGCTTTAGATCTCGGAAACTAAACAGGGACGACCCTGGCTAGTATTTGGATGGGAAGAGCAGGGGCGTGATCGATGGTGTTTGAAGCCGGAAAATAGCAGAGTTGTTGTAGTGGAGTATTTACAGTTTATTTACAGAGCTTATATACACACACAGCTTTGTAGCAGTTCAGAATATTCACTGACAAAGTGCTTCGCATAACAACAGTAACCATCAAGGCAGTCCTGTACAAAGAACTCATTGCAATATATGCATACATTGACCAATCACAGTACAGCCCTGTACTCTTGCTGAGTCATTCTGACACCTTCGGATATGATGCAACTTTGGTGTCATATGACCTCTTCGCTGTCATTCCAGATCATCTAGATCTAACTCCTGTTCCATGACATAGCTGTGATCTTGCCTATACTGACAGTGATGTGGAGGCAGGCCATGGCAAAGCACCTCTGAACGGCTCTGGCCTTGAAAACCCTGTGGGAGTGGTCATAAGTCAGCTGGGGCTTGATAGCACTCTCCACCACAAATGCAGAGGAATGTGTGTGTGCTTTTTAATTCAGAAGAATGTAATGAACTCTCACTTGTTTCTGAACTTCCACTAATACAGTCCAAGGAATGCGGGGATGTAAAATCAGAACAGCCGGAATGCTGACAGCAGTGCCACCCACGACGTTAGACTTTTATCCCACATGCACACTGAGTTTTGGTCCTGCAACTCCCCCACACACAGGGATTTCATGTGTGTCATTACAAACTCTTTTAAAATATTTGAGGTGTCCATCTGTTTCGGAGTAGCAGCCTTAAAAAACGCAGAAGCCTGAATGTGAGAATCACCCTCTACAAATACTACAGGTCTCCTCATTGATATGCTGCAATTGGCTGCACCTCCTTGCTTAGTAGACACTCAGCAGCAAACCTGATTTTCTGTCTCTGTGGTATGCGAGCTGAAATATATATGTTTATTCGACAAACATCTGTTTGCTTTTAAAAACTCCTGCAGCCAATTGTAAGTACCCTCCCCTCCCCACAAGCAGTAACCATTTCAAAGCAATAGCTTACCCACACCCCGTTCCAAATGTGATGAGTCTGTGGGGATTCTGGACTTCTAAAAAGATGGTATAAGATGGGAGAATGAAACTAATTATATCTGTTCCCCTACTAAAACTGGGAGGTGTGTGTGAATCCTTCCTCATAGCCATTATGCCCACAAATACAATGTGCCTTGAACTGTCCATTGGGGATATCATTTACAGGTTTCCAAAATGAGTTTCCTTCTTTCCGTGACATTTCTGTATCAGTAACAGTATTATATATGTTGACTCCTCCAAAGTCTACTTTTATCTTTTATATGCATTTCAAGAATTAAAAATAACAAAACATATTTCAATAGAGTCATGTGCCTTCATTTGTACTTCAAATTATTCTGTTTTATGCTTCAGCTTTTTATTTTTATGTCTAGTCTGCCTGTCTCACAAAGGCTCGAGGGTTACAAACTCCCCCCAAACTGTACCCTACTCTCAAGGAATGGGACACGCATCCTTTTCACTATTCCGTCTAACGCTGAGCCGACAGCGTCTTCTGGACAGTTTTCAACGCACAGCCAAAGTAGAATAAATCACTTTTATCCAGTTTTTCACATGCATTCATAAGAGTTCTTTACTCACATCTTTGTGATTTAATTCCTTTCACTGGCTCGTGGTGAAAAGGATGCGTGTCCCATTCCTTGCTATTTGAAGAGAACAAAGGAAAGGGGAAGAGAGTTGTAAAACTCAAAAAATCCTCCCACCTCTGGAGGAAATGACTGTTAATCAGCCAGTCAGGAATGCATTGGGATGCCTAACTAAAGACTACAATTCCCAGGGGCAAACTGCTCTTAAAGATATATGGCAGTTCTACTTTGTTGTTGTTGATCAGTCGCACAGTCGAGTCCGACTCTTCGCGACCCCATGGATCATCTCCCGCCAGGCCCTCCTGTCTTCCGCCGTCCTCTGAAGTTGGCTCAATTTCATGTTCATTGCATCGATGACACCATCTCATCCTTTGCCGTCCCCGTCTTCTTTGACCTTCAATCTTTCCCAGCATCAGGGGCTTCTCTAGTGAGTGCTCCCTTCTCATTTGGTGGCCAAAGTATTTGAGCTTCAGTTTCATTATCTGGCCTTCCAGGGAACAGTCAGGGTTGATTTCTTTTAGGATTGACTGATTTGATCTTCTTGCAGTCCAAGGGACTCTCAAGAGTCTTCTCCAGCACCATAGTTCAAAAGAATCTATTCTTCGGTGCTCGGCCTTCCTTATAGTCCAACTCTCGCAGCCATACATGACTACTGGGAATACCATTGCTTTGACCATGCGGACTTTTGTTGGCAGGGTGATGTCTCTACTTTTTATCATGCTGTTTAGGTTCGCCATCGCTTTCCTCCCAAGGAGCAGGCGTCTTTTGATTTCATGGCTGCTGTCACAGTCTGCGGTGATCTGGGATCCCAGGAACGTGAAGTCTGTCACTACTTCCACGACTTCCCCTTCTATTTGCCAAGGAGTGATGGGGCTGGATGCCGTGATCTTAGTTTTTTTGATGTTGAGCTTCTACTTACCTACAGTTAAATGCTTACTGGGGCAGCACAGTACCCTACAATAAATAAAGACAATTTACACATTAAAAAAAATAGCAGAGCATCCCCTTCATAAGAATGCCTTCCTAAAGGCGCAGGAGCCCTGACCTGCATAGCCCAGGCTAGCCCAGTCTCATCCAATCTTGGAAGCTAAGCAGGGTCAGCCACGGTTGGTACTTGGATGGGAGACCACCAAGAAGTCCAGGGTCGCTGTGCACAGTCCAGCAGTGGCAAACCATCTCTGTTCATCTCTTGCTTTGAAAGCCCCACAGGGCCGCCATGTCAGCTGGAATTTGACAGCAAAAACAAATGTGTGGGAGCTTTCCTGACCCATCAGGGTAGGTTGTTCCATCCAGTCAGGGGCTACCACACACTTGGGCGTAGGCAGCCACTGGTCTTGCCTGTTTGCAGAGCAGCACCTTCAAAAAACCTCAAATGAGAAAAGCTGTCACAGTTCGCCATATCAGGACAGGTGATCTTATGTGTGGGTCCCAGGCCATAAAAGACTTTGTAATAACCAGCACCCTGAATTGAATCCCCAAGGTAATCAGTAATCAATGGAGCCGTTTGCAGAGCAGCACCTTCAAAAAACTCAAATGAGAAAAGCTGTCACAGTTCGCCATATCAGGACAGGTGATCTTATAGATGTGTAGGTCCCAGGCCATAAAAGACTTCGTAATAACCAGCACCCTGAATTGCATCCCCAAGGTAATCAGTAATCAATGGAGTGACAGTAAGGTAAAGGTTCCCTTGCTCGAAAGCCAGTCGAGTCCGACTCTAGGGTTGCGGTGCTCATCTCCGTTTCAAAGCCGAAGAGCCAGCACTGTCCAAAGACGTTTCCGTGGTCATGTGGCCGGCATGACTAAATACCAAGGTGCACGGAATGCTGTTACCTTCCCACCGAAGTGGTACCTATTTATCTACTTGCAATTTCTTGCTTTCGAACTGCTAGGTTGGCAGGAGCTGGAACTAGAGACGGGAGCTCACTCCACCATGCAGCAACTCAGGTCTCGAACTACTGAACTACCCGACCTTCCACAGCCTGCAGTTCAGCGTCTTAACCACTCAAGCCACCGCAGCTCCCTGGAGTGACAGTAGAATAGGTGTAATATGGTCACTCTGTCCAGCTCTTACTAAGGCGTTCTGTACCAGCTGCAGTTTCCCAGTTGTCTTCAAGGGCAACAAAGGGAAGTTCCGGATGTCTTCCTTCGATACAGTGAAGATTTTAGATTGCGAACCTGTTTGTTTTCAAATGTAAAGGTTGAGCAGATCAGAGTGCAAAAGCAAGCACAGGGGTGAATACAAATCCACAGCACAAATCTACAAAAATATCTTCTTTTTTTTAGGGTTCCCTCTTGGTTTTCCTGCCTTTTCATATCCTTATTATTCAGTTCCCACATCCTTAATTCCCTTTGTTCAGTAAAGGCAAACTAGTTTTACTCTCCTTCCTCTAACTATGTACTCCTGTTTCAATATAAGATCAGGTTTATTGAGGGCACAAATTTAACATCTTCTGATAAGCATCTGAATTAATGGAAGTCTGACAACCATTCCCTTGCCGCTAAAAGACGTCCTCTAGCCTGCAGAATTCGTAGAAGTGAAGGAGCACAGTTGAAACACCAGGGGGCAGGCTGTGATTATTGAATATGCACTATTTTGTAGGAACCTAGCATTCACCTGGCACCAAACTGAAGCCTATTTGGTCATGTTTCTAGTCCTTAAGGGAGTTCCGTGAAGGCACAGCACAGTGTCTGGACAAC